TGCCTTTCTCTTCCCTTGGATGCTTCTCCCCATGCAGAGCACCTCACCTTTCTCTTCCCTCAGATACTTCTCCCCATGCAGAGCAGCTGACCCCCAGAGAGCAATGGCTATTGTCTCCACCACAGTCAAGGGGGTAGAATTGTTGAGACCTCCTCCTTCCTCCGAAACCAGGATTGGAGGGGGGCTCCCCAAGGGCGGGGAAGAGCTCAGGTTGGGTTCACAGCAAGATGCAGCTCAAGTCTGCCATCCTGTCTAGAGGGTCCTTGGGGCCCCCTCAGCTCCTGGCTCTCCCAGGGCCCCTGGAGAAGGGGGATCTGCCTCCAGCACCCTCTGCCAGAAGCTACCTGCCCCATCAGTGCTCCAGGGAGAGGCACCATCCACCTGACTCAGGGTGGCCAAGTCCCCCCAACAGAAACAGCCTCTCCATTCCCATGCTAACCAAAGACCCTGGCACTTCCTTTTACAGGCAAATGAATGGCTTTGGCTTTGTCTGGCCCAGAGACCCCACCCCTCTGTTGGGAAGGTGGTAGCTGGGGGAGGGGACCTTTCCAAAATACCACCTGCTTAGTACAGGCCCCCCACTTTCTTCTGCCCTGAAGGGGGATCTTCCTCAGCCCCCAGCAGGCCTCAAGACCCCACCACCACCCACAGAGGCAATTCCAACCCACCCCAGCTCCAGCCCTGGGCTCTGGGAAAAGGAATCACGAAAGCTCCCTGGGTTCTTTCCCAATGGCAGGAGCGGAGGGCCCTGGGACACCCCTTCCCCCATCCCAGTCCTCTGGAGGCCAACGGGTTCCCTTGGAGACCACCAGCTGGTGTCTGTCTCAGCTTGTGCCTGTGGGGGCTGGGAGGGAGGGGACGTATGTGTCAGTGCACAGGTCTCTCATACGGCTGGCATGGCCCTGGCACCTGTGCGTGGCCTGTGTGTGTGGGTGTCTTGGTGTACTCCAGCGTGGGGCTTTCTGTGCGCATCTGGGTCCCTGCTTGCGTGTCCGTGGGTCCCTGCGTCTCCCCACGTCCTGTGTCTGTTCTCTCCGAGACTGTCTCTCTCGAGGTGGGTGCCACTGTGTGTGCGTGTGTCTGTGCATCTGTCACCGCGCGTGGGCTCCTATGCGCGGAAACCCTCCCCCGGGAGCGCCTCTGGCCGCGCTGGCCGGGGCCGCAGCCCACTCCTGGCGGATGCCGGTGGCCCTGCCGGCCGCCCTACCTTTGGACATGAATCCTCCTTTGTCTCCGTTCCTCCAAGGAGATGCTCCCGGCGCGGGGCTGCAAGGCTGAGCGGGGCGCGGGCTCCCTCGGGCCGAGCGGCCCCTGCAGCCGGGCCTCGCCCCTCCGCTCTCTCCGCCCACCCGCCCGGCCCGCGGCCCCGCCGCGCCGCCCCTGCGCCCCGCGCCGCCGCGCCCGCCCGGGACCTCGCCTCGGCTCGCTCGGCGCCGCGCCGCCCCTGTCCGCGCGCACGGTTGTCGCCGCCACCAGCCGCCGCCGCTGCCACCCGCACCACGTGACCGCGCGCCCGCCGGCCCCGCCGAGGGCCCCTCCCCTTCCCGCACGCGGGAACGGGCCCCGGGTCCCGGCTGCGGGAGGCCCAGGAGCCGCGCACGCGGGCTCCAGGTGCCCGGCCCGGAAAGGTTCCCGCATCCCAGTCCCTTCTCTCCCGCTGCGTCAGCTCCGGGCCCCTTACCCGCTAGGCTGCTGTGGGGCGGGGCGGGGGGGCGCAGGGGACCAGTGGCAGCTGCGAGCGGCCGTGCGCGCGCGTGAGTCACGCGGGGGTCGGAGTGTTGCGCGGGCGCCTGTGGAGCCCTGAGTCAGGGGCCCGGGTTCCAGGCCCTTCTCCGGAATGATGAACCAATAACCTTGAACCAGCCAGGAACTTGCCTGAGCCTCAATTTGTCCATTAGAAAAAAATTGTATGCATTCAGTGGACACTAATGGACAGCTTATTGCCAGGCCCTGGAAGCACAGGGCTGAGGACAACCATCCCTGTCCTCGAAGGTTCTGGGTCTAGTAGAGGAAACAGGAAGCTCGAATGTCCTAATGCAGTGGCTGGGGTTCACGCAGGGGACTGAGGGTGCAGGCAGGTGGGCACCCTGGGGAGAGGGGACTTGGAAGACTTCTTGAAGGAGGTGAGGGCGGAATGGAAAGGCAAATGGGAGTGGGAGGGAAGAAGGGAGAAGGAGAGGCATTCTGCTAAGGGAGGGCAGCAGAGGTAAGGGGGCCCAGGGGTGAGAGCTGCTTAGTGCTGGTGGACAGCCCACAGCCCTTGGTGTGGCTGAAGCAGAGAAAATTCCAGACAGGTATGTAGAGCTAAATAAGAGGCTGGAGAAGTCTGCACGCAGCCTTGGAAACTGGACTTTAAGAGAAGGTAATGGTGAGTCACTGACGAATATGAAGCTGAAAGTGCTGCCATTCAGTATGTGAGTCCCTGCAGCAGTTGTGTCTGGACAAGGGTGGAGCCGGTGGGTGGAGGGTAGACTCCTAGGGGCAGAAGGATGGAGAAGAGGGGACAGCCAGCCAGGTACTTGAGTACTGAGGAGGTAAATCAACAAGGTGGGAAGTAGATTGGATGAGATGGCAAGAGAGAGATGAGGAAAAAGAGGATACTTGGGTTTCTAGGCACTGGATAGAAGGTAGGTGATGCCTGTAGCTGAGAGAGTGAGATCAGGGAGGCAGGAGTCAGTTCACGAAGAAAAGGGCGGCCGGGCTGGGCGCGGTGGCTCAAGCCTGTAATCCCAGCCCTTTGGGAGGCCGAGATAGTCAGATCACCAGGTCAAGAGATTGAGACCATCCTGGCCAACATGGCGAAACCCCATCTCTGCTAAAAATGCAAAAATTAGCTGTGTGTGGTGGCATGCACCTGTAGTCCCAGCTACTTGGGAGGCTGAGGCAGGAGAATTGCTTGAACCCAGGAGGTGGAGGTTGCCATGAGCTGAGATTGTGCCACTGCACTCCAGCTTGGCGCCTGGCAACAGAGCAAGACTCTGTCTCAAAAAAAAAAAAAAAAAAAAAGAAGAAGAAGAAAAGGGCTACCCTGGACATGCCCGGGAGACATCAGGATAGATAAGCCTAGCAGGCTGCTAGCTGCCCACATTGGCACTTGAGACAGGGCTGGGCTGCAGATGGAGGGAGAGCCGAGGTCTCATAGGGAGAAGTGAAGACCAGAGCTTAGGTGAGGTGCCCAGACTGAGTGTGGCGGGAAGCAGGGAGAGGGGTCTAACAATCTGAAGACTCAATTCTGCTGTGAGACTGGATGCCTTCCAGGCACCTTTCCAGACCTAGAAACTCTGAGCTCTTGAAATGCTGGGAATGAGGCTGCCCAAAGTAGAAATTCCAAAAACCTGGATTCCAATCAGCTTACTGCTACCAGCCAGCTTTGATGTGACTTTAGGCATGTCACAGGCTTTCCAAGACCAAATGAATGTCCAGCCCTTGTGTTGGCCTATTTAGTGTTCTGTGTAGGACTTCCATATGTACAAGGCTCCAACTTACCTTTCAGGATTAAAGGGCTGGAGGTGGGGGACCAAGAAAGAGACCTCCAGGTAAGGCACCTTTTAAGCAACAGATACCTTCCTAAAAGGCTGAGTATAAATGGATTTGGAAAGTCTCAGGTGAGGTCATTATCTCACATCCAGAGGAGGCTGCAGGGACTACTGTTAACAAATCACCACTTCCTAAAGTGCTAGTCAGTATTTTCACATAGGAGGTTTGCTTTTTTTTTTTTTTTTTTTTTGGAGATGGAGTTTTGCTCTGTTGCCCAGGCTGGAGTGCAGTGGCACAATCTTGGCTCACTGCAACCTCTGCCTCCCAGGTTCAAGCAATTCTCTGCTTCCGGAATAGCTGGAATTACAGGTGCCTGCCATCACCCTGGGCTAATTTTTTGTATTTTTAGTAGCGACGGGGTTTCACCATGTTGGCCAGGCTGATCTTGAACTCCTGACCTCGTGATCTACCCGCCTAGGCTTCCCTAAGTGCTGGGATTACAGGCGTGAGCCTCATCGCCTGGCTGGAGGCTTGCTTTTAAAGCTGGACTCACCTAGTGATCACCTGATTATTCCAGCTCTTCAGGGAACAAAGAAACAACCCCAGGAGATGCCAAAAGGAGGATTCACCAATTGCTCCTCCACAGGCTACCCCTATAAACCTTTCTTTTTCTCTTTTTTTTTTTTTTGAGACAGGGTCTTGCTCTGTCACCCAGGCTGGAGTGCAGTGGCTCCATCTTGGCTCATTGTGACCTCCACTTCCTGGGTTCAAGCATTTCTCCCACCTCAGCCTCCCCAGTAGCTGGGACTACAAATGCATGCCACCATGCCCTGCTAATTTTTTATTTGATTTTATCTTATTTTTTGAGACAGAGTCTCACTGTCACCCAGGCTGGAGTGCAGTAGCATGATCTAGGCTCACTGCAGCCTCCGCCTCCCAGGTTCAAGTGCTTCTTTTGCCTCAGCCTCCCAAGTAGCTGGAACTACAGGCATGTACCACCACGCCCGGCTAATTTTTGTATTTTTAGTAGAGACAGGGTATCAGCATGTTGGCCAGGCTGGTCTTGAACTCCTGACCTCAAGTGATCCACCTGCCTTGGCCTCCCAAAGTGCTAGGATTACAGGCATTAGACACTGCCCCTGGCCCTTATTTTTTATTTTTTGTAGAGACAGTCTCACCATGTTGCCCAAACTGGTCTTGAACCCCTGTGCTCAAGCAGTCCTCCCATCTCGGCCTCCCAAAATGCTGGGATTACAGGCATGAGCCACCACACCGGGCCAAAACCTTCTTTCTGATACTCTCCCTCAGCCTGACCTCAGACTGGCAGGTTAGAACCCAGCTCAGAGTACAGCCCCTATGTCCAGCCCTAAAACCTTATTTCCTTTTCTTCCAACCCATTCAACTCTGACCTTAGAGTCCTTTCTCCCTTTCCCAACCCATGCAAGCAAGATCCATCTCCAAGCTCGTACACCTCCACCCCCGCCCGCAGCCTAGTCCATCCCCAACCAAATTTCTGCATTTACCTTTGGATTCTGTGGCCAGGTCCAGTGTGGCAGGTTCTGTCGCTCCATCCGTGGAAGCATTAGTGTGGTCCAGGGCTGGGCCTTTGCATCTACTTGGCATCACCAGGCGTGTAGCAACGTCTGATATGGTCAGGTTATTAACACTGCCCAGTGTGTTCTTCCCAGTGGCTGGGTCTAGGTTTACTGGCCCAACCGAACCCACAGCCATGCCCATCCTGCTTGTGTCCAAAGCAAGAGAATTCATAGCCAAGCCCAGCTTGGTTCTGTTTGCTCTGGCCAAAGCCATGGCTGTTTCCAACCTAGTGGTGCCCACTGTCGTGGTGATTTTGTCCAGCTTGAGTGGGTCTGATGTTGCCGAATCCATGGCTGTGCCCTCTGTGTTCATATCTGGCTTGGCTGTGCTTCTTGTAGCCATGGCTTTGCCCAGCTTGTCTGGGTCCGAGGCTGTCAAATCCATGACCATGCCTGGCTTGGTTGTCCATACTGTAGTCAGATTCATGGCCGTGCCCGGCTTGATTGTGCCTGCTGTAGCCAAGTTCATGTCTTTGCCTGACTTGACTATCCCTCCCGAAGGCAAGTCTCTGGCTGCGCCCAGCTTGATATCCAGAGCAGGGAACTCTGTGCCTGTGTCCAGTCTGGATGTGTTTGGTGTGGCTAAGCTAGGTCTGTTGGTGGCCACTGTGGCTAAATGTCTGGCTGCGTCTGTCCTTGTGTCCACAGCAGTCAAATTCACAGCCTCAGTGGCCCTTTGGAGACGCCCCCGGGGTCTGGGGATCCCCCTGGCCCGGAGCTTGCCTTTTCCTGGAGAAGCTCTGGTAGGCGTGTGGGCAGTCGCTGAGGCAAGGTGCCCCTGGCCCATGGAGCCTGGCTCTGCCAGGACTGGTGTGCTCTGGGCTAACCGGGATTGGAAAGGTAAGGCCAGGTAGGAACTCACCAGGGGCTTCCCCGCGGCAGGTATCCTGCTGGATTTGGTCAGACCTGGGTTCTCAGGGCCCTTGGAGTGGGCCCTGCCCCCTGGCACTAGGGTCACAGGTGGCGAGCCTGGCAAGGACAGCCTACCTCCTTCATGGGGAGTTCCCAGGGTAGGCGACCCTTCCCAGTGAGAAAGTGGGTGATCCAGGGACTGTGCCTGGCTATTTTGACGGAGCGTCAAGGAGATGGAGCTGAGCTTCCTGGGTACAAGGCTGCTGGTGGGCAGGGGGCTCGAGGAAGCCCCCAGAGCAGTGACCATCTCCTGTGAGGGCATACTCTGGGTCCTGGCTCCAAGGCCCGGCCGGTTGGAGGTGTGTGGGATATGGCTTTGGGGGAAGGTGTCCAGATGGATGGTCTTTCTGAGGACAGGGGTGAGCTGGGCTCCCCCTCCAGGGAGTTTTGAGGGGCAGGTAGGGCGCCCCAGCACATGGCTACGGGAGAAAGAGGTTCTCGGGCCTGGAGCTCCGTGCGACTGCATCTCTGGAGGAGCAGGAGCAAAGTCGTGGTCTATCCAGGCCGTTTGTCTTTCCCTGAGGCAATCAACAGAGAGAAGGGGCCAGGCTAGGGCTGGAGGAGGCTGCATTGCACAGGGGTAGAAGTGGCAAGACTGCCTGGGGTAGGGAATGGGCACAAGGGGGTGTTGAAGATGAAGCTCAGGATTCTGGCTGTGATCTTAGGAGATGGGCCACTCCTCCCTGACACTCTGGACTCTATGTAACTCACCCTCTGGAACAAACTTGGTTTGGGTTTTTTTTTTTAACACAGCAGGCTGGGACCTGCAGCTTGGGGGACAAGGCCAGGGCTGGTGGGAGGAGCCAGTTCCAGAGGGCTCATGGGGAGGGGAGTGATCACATAGCCAGGTCCTTGAGGTCTGGACAGGGACAGGGAAGGCAGGACACCATATGGGGAGGGCATCACCCCTCACCGTGGTGCCCCCAGCCCCTCATCCCTCTCCAGCTATACATTTGTACCCAAGACTGCCCTGCAGCCCCGTGCACTCCTGCACCACCAAATACACTTGAGCACGCATGTTTGCCCTGCATTTAGCCACAAACAGCTCCCCTCAGTGTGCACACCCACACACAGAGAGCAGGCCAGAGGACAAGGTGTCCAAGGGTGTCACACAACCCCCATCCCCTCACTGCACTCCCATCTTCCATGGACTGCCTGGTCCTGTTCCCCCCATGCCCCCCACACAAACACCTACCTTGATGAGAGAACAAGAAGGATCCAGTGGGTCCAGGAAGCTGAGACCCATGCAGGCTCCTCACCTCCCTTGCACCCAGAGACTGGTCATGGTGGCCGGCTTAGGGGCCTTGTCCCTCTGGTCCTCTCCTCAGGTCCTGCTCAGCCTCCAGGCCACAGTGCTCAGGCACAGGGCTCAGCCCTCTGCTGACTGTCCCACCAGCTACATCCCCAGAGACTGGGCTGGGCTGGGCTCTGGCACAGGGAGGGACTGGCTTCCTAGGAGTGGGCGGCTGTGAATGGCTGCTCTGAGCCTCTGGAATCCTGAAGAGCCATGGGAGGCTGGTAACAGCCAGGCTGGCACTCACGGCCACCTGCGGGTTGGTTCCCTGCAGCCTGCCCTCCCCAAATTTGCTCTGCCTCCCACGGACTCTGATGCCTGGGGAGTGAGTCTGCAGTAAAAACAGGGGTACTCCAAATATGGCTGCACTCTGGTGGTCCCAGCACCAATCTGTCTCTGGCTCTCCCTCTGTGCCCTTCAGGCCCTGTTCAGCTCTGCAACCCTCAGGCCATCTTGCCCATTCACCTGGTCTTTCCTCAAGTGGGCTGGAGTTCCTGGAGGCTAGAGCTCCTTCAACAACTATTTCCTGAGCCCCAGCTTGCTCCAGCCAGACCCTGTACCCAGCCCCTAAGGGTGTGAAGGGGACTCCTAGGTTTGCCCCTGAGGGGACCACAAAGCTACCCAGCCTGGCTGTGGCAATGCAGACTCTTAGCAGCACCTGCCTGCTGATGGATGGGAGCCCTCTTCTGTGTTCCCACAGCCCCTGGTGCCTCTGTCATAGCATTGGTGACAATAATGATGGTGTTGATAAGAGCTACCATTTCCTGAGCACTTGCTCTGTGCCCGGCACCATGCCAGGGCTGGGCAGAGCTCACGGTCTGCTAGGAAGATGGGTATGTAAACAGATCCTATAGTACTATCCTCTACAGTGATGGCAGACATCCTCTGAGCACTCACCCTGAGTCAGGAACTGGGCTAAGCATTCTCCTGGCATCTCCTTTCATCTCCGCCTCGTCACCTGCTTTTTGCCAAGGAGGACATTGCAACCCACACAACACTGTGTTATCTGGTCTGCTCTCCTGTGTATCTCTCTCTTTAGCGAGTGAGCTTCTTGAGCTGCGCTGGGCGATAGAACTTTTGGTGATAATGGAAATGTTCTATATCTGTGCTCTCCAATACAGTAGCCACTAGCCACAGATGGCTACCGATCACTTAAAATATGGCTACAGTGACCAGGAACTGGATTTTTTTTTTTTTTGAGATGGAGTTTTGCTCTGGTTACCCAGACTGGAGTGCAATGGCACGATCTCGGCTCGCCGCAACCTCCGCCTTCTGGGTTCAAGCAATTCTCCTGCCTCAGCCTCCCGAGTAGCTGGGACTACAGGCGCGCACCACCATGCCCAGCTAATTTTTGTATTTTTAGTAGAGATGGGGTTTCACCTTGTTGACCAGGATGGTCTCGATCTCTTGACCTCGTGATCCACCCGCTTCGGCCTCCCAAAGTGCTGGGATTATAGGCGTGAGCCACCGTGCTCGGCCAAGGAACTGGATTTTTAACTTTATTTTATTTTAATTTGTGGCTACCATATTAGACAGCTCACTTCTGTTTTGTTTGGTTGTTGTTATTGTTAGTTTTTTTGAACAAGGTTTCTTTTTTCTTTTCTTTTCTTTTTTTTTTTTTTTTGAGATGAGTTTTGCTCTTGTCATCCAGGCTGGAGTGCAGTGGCACAGTCTCAGCTCACTGCAACCTCTGCCTCCTGGGATCAAGCAATTTTCTTGTCTCAGCCTCCCGAGTAGCTGGGATTACAGGCGCCCACGACCACGTCTGGTTAATTCTTGTATTTTTGGTAGAGACACGTTTTTTCACCATGTTGGCCAGGCTGGTCTTGAACACCTGACCTCAGATGATCAGCCCGCCTTGGCCACCCAAAGTTTTGGGATTACACTGTGAGCCATGATGCCCAGCTTGAACAGAATTTTACTCTGTTGCCCAGGCCGGAAGACAGTGGTACCACCATGTGATTTTCCCACTTCTGTCTCCAGAGTAGCTGAAACCACAATTTTTATTTTTTGTAGAGATGGTGGGGGTGGGTCTCCCTATGATGCCCAGCTGGTCTCAAACTCCTGAGCCCAAGCAGTACTCCTGCCTCCACCTCCCAAAGTGCTGGGATTACAGTCATGAGTCACTGTGCCCAGCCAACAGCTCAATTCTGAAGGGCCTGGATCTTCTTCTCTGAGCCCCAGGGCTTGGCAAGAATCAACTTCAGTAAGTTCCTTTTACTTGAGAGTCTTACTGTATCACCCAGGCTGGAGTGCCATGGCGCCATCTTGGCTCATTGCCACCTCTGCCTCCTGGGTTCAAGCCTCAGGATTCTCCTGCCTAAGCCTCCTGAGTAGCTGGGATTACAGGCGTGTGCCACCACACCCAATTTTTGTATTTTTAGTAGAGATAGGGTTTCACCATGTTAGCCAGGCTAGTCTCAAACTCCTGACCTCAAGTGATCCACTCGCCTCATCCTCCCAAAGTGCTGGGATTACAGGAGTGAGCCACCATGTCCGACCAGCAAGTTTCTTTGAAAGAAATAATGAATGAATGAATGATTGAATGTTAACTGTGTGGGCCTAGCACCCATCCCTCTTCTTATCTTTTCTCTCCCCTTATAGCTTTAGGTTCTCAAACTTGGCTGGGCTCTGGTTACCAAGGCAACCTGCTGGGATCCCAGTGGATGGGGAAGGGGAGCTGTCTGAAGCTTCCTTGGTTTGAGGCCCTGAGGACTGGCCTGACTTAAGGAAGAACAGAGGGTGCTGGGAAGGAGAGGGCATAGCTCTGCCTGGACAGATTGAGGCAAGGGAGTTTTTTCTGGGCCCAGCCCCATTGGATTACATGATCTCTGTGAGATAAGCAGCCTTGGACAGGAATCAGAAGCCCTGGGTTCTCTCCCCACTTTGGCCAGTGATTCACCAGATTCACTTGTGCTTCTGGGACTCAGTTGCCTTTTAAAATAGGGATCAGGCTGGGCCTAGTGGCTCACGCACTTTAGGAGGCTGAGGCAGGTGGATCACAAGGTCAGGAGATCGAGACCATCCTCATTAACACAATAAAGCCCCGTCTCTACTAAAAATACAAAAAATTAGCCCGGCACGGTGGTGTGCGCCTGTAATCCCAGCTATTCGGGAGGCTAAGGCAGAAGAATTGCTTGAACCCAGGAAATGGAGGTTGTAGCGAGCTGAGATCGCGCCACTGCACTCCAGCCTGGTGACAGAGTGAGACTCCGTCTTGAAAAATAAATAAATAAATACATTAAATTAAATTAAATAGGGATCAGATGCCCTCATGTGGTCGGTCTCTTCCACTTCAAGATCTAGAATTCTGTCTTGCTCCCTGCCAGGCTATTAGGGCCTTGAGAGCAAGGCCCGAGTCTGTTCATCTCTGCATCCTCCTGCCCATCTACTCTGCTTAGAGGAAGCTGCCTGTCCAGCCAAGGTTTAGCTGCCCTCTAGGGGACCAAAGTGACAGTGGCCATCTCCCATCTACACATATCGTGCTTTCCCATTAAAGGAAAGATCCGTAGGCCTGGAATTGGCCTCAGAGAACAGAGGCCTCCACTCAACCACGAAACCATTGTGGTGGCCTCCCAGACAAGTGGCATAGGCTCAGGAGTCTTTCAAGGCTGGGTTTGTTACAATTATGTGATTTTAAACAAGTCAGTCTCCCTGAGCTCCCATTTCATCTGTAAAACAGAGACTATATCAGTCAGGATGAGTTAAGTTATGCTGCAGTAACAACCACTCCCAAATCCCAATGGCTGATTAACACGTTGATTTTTTTTTTTTTTTTTTTTGAGACAGGGTCTTACTCTGTCACCTAAGACTACAGGCATGTAGTCCCATGCCCAGCTAATTTTTCTTTTTCTTTTTCTTTTTTTTTTTTTGGTGGGGGGAGATGGAGTTTTGTTCTTGTTGCCCAGGCTGGAGTGCAATGGTATGATATCAGCTCACTGCAAATTCACCTCCCAGTTTCAAGTGATTCTCCTGCCTCAGCCTCCCAAGTAGCTGGGATTACAAGCATGTGCCACCATACCTGACTAATTTTGTATTTTTAGTAGAGATGGGGTTTCACTATGTTGGTCAGGCTGGTCTCAAACTTCTGATCTCAAGTGATCCACCTTCCTCGGCCTCCAAAGTGCTAGGATTATAGGCATGAGCCTATAATCCGTGCCTGGATTAACTTCTCTAAGTTTTGTAGACACAGGGTTTTGCCATGTTACCCAGGCTGGTCTCTAACTCCTGGCTTCAAGCAATCCTCCCACATCAGCCTCCCAAAGTATGGGGACTATAGGCTTGAGCCACCA